TTTTTTTTTTTCTGCAGTTCTTTAGTTTCTGTCATGCTTGTAAATAACAAACTATTGGTAGACTTGCTTCCTACTAGTTGGAATTTTTAACCTTTTATCCTGAATAGACCTATTCGGCTAACTCAATGATGTACCCTATTCAAATCTCCCGGGGTTAAGATTCTTTGTGTACTGTATTTACATTATAATGTTGCATTCACATTTAAATGATATGGAAATTCCTGAAACAGAACGTTTTATCCCCAAAGGGTTTGAATTGGGTACAACATTTAGTTAGCTGAATAGGTCTATTTGAGTAAAGTGTTTTAAAGCCAAACCTGCATTAAGCAGTACCCTTTGGGAATGGCCAACTGACTGCTTAATAACTTTAGGTGGAAACCAGAGTTGATCAAGAAAACAGATGCTGGCAAGGTTTTTTCAAGGCCATTCTTGGTGTCCATTTTTATAGGGAGTTATCCATCATTTTTTAACTCTAGAGGTGACTGTAGTAAGTAATTAAAAAGACTACATACTTAGAACTCTTTACTGCATTAACTTTTCCTGTTGGTGGTTTCCCTCCAAAAAACTTCTTTGCACCAGCAGCTCTAAACATCACAAATCAAAGTAAAGTTTCTTAATTGGACTTAGATCAGATGCATTCTAAGCTTATGCAATGAGAAAGAACCTTCTTCACAGGTAAATTACAGTACATTTTCCTTTCCTAGGGGAAACAAATTTGGATAAGTAAGATCCTGGGAAACTGTCCACCAGTCCATTGGAAAAGTTATGGAGGTGGGGAATGGGAAATTTTTGAGCTTCAAGAAATTTTTTTTCTTGCATGAATATATTTTTTAGGCCAGTGCAGGATAGTTATTTTGGGGTTACTCAGAGCAGGTGAGATTTTCCATTTAATTTTTCCCTTACAAGAAAATGCTCAGAGTAGGTGAAATTTTCCATTTAATTTTCCCCTTGCAAGAAAATGTTTGTCTGTACTTCACCCGCCCCCTCCATAACTTTCTTAATGGTCTGTCCCTAACCCAACACTAACACTAACTTTTTGCCAAAAGCAAAATGTTGGGATGAGTGAGGGGCGAGTTGGCAGCTTTTCAGAATCTTACTTTGTAATGATTCAAAACTTTTTCCTTTTTTTCTCTAACTGGGGAAACCCTTCATTCTGTAACAAATTACTAATTGGCAACATAATTTTCATAAATGATATTTTGATGTCAGAATGATTTGTTACCTTTTTACTTCATCATTTTTTGATGCAGACGATTGTCTTCCACCTGCCGCTAGAATGTTAAGAGGCAGTTTAGGAGTAACCAGATCTTGCCACTTCCCAGATTTGTGTTGTACAGCATCATCACTGATCACTGTATCTGTTTGCAAAGCTTGATCTGCAGTTACCATAATTGATGATGTGCTATTGAGCCCTGATATGTCATTAACACTCATGCTGAAACTTTAATGAGACAATCAGAGAAAATGATTTTAAATAACTCAGGAGAAAGAAAAATAGAAAAAATAACATAAAATAAAAAAACAAGAACAAGCAACAAGAAATGGTAACCATTTTATGTCTTTCAGTGGAATAACAGCGAATAAGTGATCAGTGATAACAATAAATCATTAAAGCTCCTAGGCCGCATTCTTCGAAGCAGGCTTAAGCTGCCCAGGTTTAGCACCAACTTTGAAATATAAAAATCTGAACGTTTAGGAAGCAAATTCCTGAGAATTTTAGTTTGCATGTTCTAAAGAACTACCTAAAATTGACAGCAAAAATTGCTTTTTAAACAAGTTGAGTTCCAACAAGTGCAGTACATTGATTTAAGTGAGATAGTTCATGTTGTGAAAGTGGTCATCATTGCTCAGTGTGCACATAAACTTAACAACTACTCTTTGAAGTCAGTCAGTAAGTTTTGAGTGCTAAGGTGTACCCTGAACAGAATGGAGGTTAATCCTCAGCATGCAAAGAAAGGTTTGTGCAATAGCACGGGGCTAGTAGATTTTGCTATCGGACTAGTGAAATCTGTTCTTAACTTACCGGATGGGCAAGGGAAGTTTTTGACGAATAAAAATTACAGAAAAACTGTTCTCAATCCTGCTCGTCAAAAGAATATTTTTCAGGCTAGCTAAAATGGCTCTTGGGCTAGTACATGCTATCTACAGCCTGCCTGAATAGCAAGCTGTAAAACTGACTTTCTGATCCTGGGTTTTGGACCCAGGTCCCTTTTAGCCTGAGAAAATAGCCAACATTTCAAGATGCCTTCACTGGTTTCCCTGTGAAATGATGTCTGAGCAATGACTGCAGAAATCCCACACTGATGATGTGTCACTACCCAGATATGGGTAGTGCTTTTGATTAATTGTGCTTCACGAGAAATTTGTCTCAAAGGAGAGGTTCCACTGTCTCTTACTTTGGCATAGTATCTTCTCTTTCCTCAAGTGAATCCTGTGATCTTGAAGCCACTTCAATGTTAATTTCATCTGATTGGCCAGTAGTTGTCCTCTCATCAGATTTTTTAGCTGTATCAGGTTTGTTTTCATTAGGTGCAGTGCTTATCATGTGAGATGACTGGTTTTTGCTGTCATTTGCTTGTTGAGGTGTCATGTCATCTTCAGTCTCGGTGGATGGTGAAAAGGTTGGCTCAACTGGAGTTTCTGCTATGGCTGGACACAATGAAGAACGTCTTTCAGTGTAATAATAATAATAATAATAATAATAATAACAATTTTAAAAATACAAATAATGAACATATTTTATTGATAACAATGCTAACTATTAAAATCCCGTTTACAATTAATTCACTTAAAAAAACTGTTCTGTCAAAACACTAGTTACAATTCCTTTCATTAAAAAAAAACAATTAGTTTTGATTAGAAAAAATTCATTTAATTAAAAAAATTATTCAAGTAATAATAAATAAAGGGCACTCAAGTAGGACAGGTTGGACCTCAGCCTTCTACGGGGACATGGACGACCCCGCCCACCAGAGTCTGGGGTGACACCTTTGGCAAGTGTTCGTAACCCTGAAGCTACCCCCGTCAGGGTTACAACAAAGTATCATGACATGACAAGAAGAAATAATAGATTTTCATGCTGCATCGGTCATAACGCAGATAAACGATGGCTGCGATCCTCAGTGTGGAACCAGCCTGAGATCGAAAGTATACTACTAGAACAAACTCTTCCCAGCAAATACTAGAGGAACGCCATGCCAAGGATACTCCTCAAAGTGGCCCTCAACGATCTGCCACCAGTTCAAAGACAAGACCCAGAAGGGAAAAATACAAATGGGCTAGGAAAGGGTACAGAATATTGGAATCATGGAAGCTTACTAACAAGAGTCTCTAAAACAACAAGTCCAGGCCAAAGCACAGAGACTCAGGTGATACACCAAAAGCGGGAACTTCTTTCGGCAAGACAAGACCTTCAGGGACAAAGCCATAAAGCTCTACAAAGAGCTGGGAAAGAAAGCGATCAATATGCAGAGCCCTCCCTCACTCAAAGAGGTTGAGCAGAAATGGTCATAAGTCACCACAGAGGAGACCATCAAAGCCATCCACAAGACCACAGCAACTGGAAAGCCGCAGGATGCAACAGCGTGGCTAACTTCTGGCTCAAACAACTGACCAGCGTACACCCCAAATTAGCCAACGAGTACAACAAAATCCTCAAAAACCTAGAACAGTCCCCAGAGTAGCTGACCGAGGGTGTGACTTTCCTGACACTCAAGTCCGAAGATGCAGAGAACCCTAAAAACTACAGGTATATTACATGCGTACAAACTAAGTACAAGGTCATGACCTCCATTATTACAGATTCTGAAACGGCCTACACCTTTCTCGAAAGCAACAACCTGCTCCCCAAAGTGCAAGAAGGATGCTGCCGCAGGAGCTATGGCTGCAAAGACCAGTTCCTCATCAACAAAGCCATCTTTGAAGAGGTGAGATCCAAACACTGTTACCTCTCCACGACCTGGATCGACTACAAGAAGGCCTTCCATACCTTCCTTCCCTACACCTGAATCATCAAGAGCATAGAACTCTACGAGATCTGCCCCACTATCATCCGAATGGAAGACTATCCTCCACCTAAACCACAATAAGGGCATGATGACATCCAGACCTATCGAAATCAAAAGTGGCATCTATCAGGGAGACTCACTGTCACCTCGAGTCTTTTGTCTTGCTCTTGCTCCTCTAGGCTCCCTCCTGAACAAGAGTGGCCATGGGTACAACACCCCCCACGGAAAGATCAGCCACCTCTTCTACATGGATGACCTGGAGACCTACACGGAAAATGATGACGAGCTGACGGGCCTGCTGAGCACCATCAAATCTTTCAGTGACGACGCAGGCATGGAGGTTGGATTGGACAAGCACACCAAGGTCACCTTCAAGAGAGGGCGACTAGCCTACTTCAGTAACATTGAGCTCAATGTCAACACCGTTATTCCAGGACCTAGAACAGGAACGTACCTATAAGTACCTCAGAGTCAGCGAGGGAGTTGAAATCCAGCAATCTCAGATGAAACAAAAGTTCTGGAAAGAGTACTACTGCAGGATCTGGATGGTACTCAAGTCTGAGCTGAACTCTGCAAACAAACTGAAAGCTATCAACACCTTGGCAGTACCAGTGGTAACTTACAGTACTGTTTTAACACCAAAAACTGGATGTTACAAGAGCTGGCCAAACTTGATACAAAGACTAGGAAGTTCATGACTATGTACAAGACACACCACCCCAAATCTGACGTGGACAGGCTGTACCTGCCCAGAACCGAAGAAGGTAAATGTAGAGGGCTCATACAACTGGAGCTTTCATACAAGACGACCATTATTGGTCCTGATAAATACCTCCAGGAGTCGCAAGACACCCTCTTCCACTTTGTCAACCTGCAATACCAGCTGCAGAGGATGAGGTGAACACCACCTATGCCTGCAGTACAAAGGCCAAGGCCAAACACCAGGGTCGCCAACTGCTCAGGTCCAAGTGGGAATTAAAAGCGCTCCAATGCAAATACCCACAGCTGGTGAAACAGTCTGAAGTGGACCAAGACAAGACCCACAGATGGCTTAAAGCAGCTGGCCTCAAGGTAGAAACCAAGGGCTTTATCATTGCAGCCCAAGATCAAAGCCTCCCAACATGCTCGTACCAACACAACATCCTCAAGAAGCCTGACCTGGACCCAAAATGCAGACTGTGGGGCTGTTTCGATGAGATCATTGACCACCTGGTCTTTGGCTGCCCTGAACTAGCCAAAACTGAATACACGCACCACCACAACAAGGCAGCTGCACATATGCACTGGAAGATCTGCACAGAGTTTGGCATTGAGGTGAAGGAATGATGGTATGAGCATGAACCCAAGACTGTCACCGAGAAGGACAGCATCACCATTCTGTGGGACATGCCCATCCACACTGATAGGACTATCGCAGCTAATAGGCCGGACATTGTGCTAAAGAACAAGAAGGACAAAACCTGCCTTCTCATTGACATGACTATACTTCTCGACACCAACACTTCAGTCAAAATGACAGAAAAGCTTAACAAAATACAAAGGCTTGGAAATCAAGGTTGAGCGAATGTGGGGGTAAAACAGTTCTGGTGGTTATGGAAGATCTTGGTACCATCAAGGAGGACATGGAAAACTACACCAACAAAATCGCTGGCAACATCAACATACATGAACTCCAGAAAATAACTCACCTTTCTACAGCCCACCTTCTCAGGCGGGTTCCCTCTCACAAGTAGAAACCCTCTTTGCCACCCAAAGTCCATGATTTGGAATCGGATGTTGAGATAGAAAATTCACTTGCAGTTTATTACAGTAGTAAATCTTACATAATAGTAATAATAATAATGATAATAATAATAATAATAATGAAGGAAAACAGGAAGGGCCTAATTAATCATCTCCTATTTATGGATGCTTTAAAATTATATGGAAAGAACAAAAAGCAAGTAGACACGCTGGTAAATACTATCCATATTTTCAGCAATTCGGAATTAGCAAATGTGCTGTGCTAATAATGAAATGGGGAAAAGCATGAGCATGCAAAGTTATTCTTTTAACACATGCCCAAGTCATCAGAGGGCTTGAGGAAGGTGATAGATATAAATACATGTATCAGGGAATACTGGAGGCAGATGATGTGAGGCATAATGACATGAAACAGTCAATATCAAACGAGTATTTGAGGAGGATCATAAAGATTCTTAAATCATAGTTGAATGGTGGAAATATTGTGAGTGCAATAATTAATTCAAGAGCATTTTCATAAGTACGATATAGGGCAGGTATCGTCAGATGGAGTAAGGATGAATTAAGGGCATTGGACAGAAAAACAAGGAAGCTGTTAATGATTCATAGATCACTTCATTTTCAAGCAGATGTAGACAGGTTTTTTGTCAAGAGATTAGAGGGAGGCAGCAGCTAAATGAGTGTTGAAGATTGTGTGAACATCGAGGTTGCTTGTTTGTATCAGTTTGTGGTAAACAGCCCTGAAAGGCTACTTATGGCAACAAAAGATGAAAATGTCTTGGATGAAGGAGAAGAGAAGGAAAGTGTAAGTCGAAGAAGGTGAAGCAGTTATAGAGAAAAGACACGACATGGGCAGTACACTGAATGTATGGTGCACTGAAGAAGTAAGAGACCCGCAGACATGGGATTGGCTGAAAAGAGCTACTTTGAAGAAAGAGACTGAAGGCCTCCTAACTGCCACACAAGATCAGGCCCATTGGACTTACATAAGGACCATGATTAACAAGCAAGATGTTTCACAAATGTGTCACCTGATGGTGAAAGGGAGGAAACTGTCAGCCATATGACAACAGAATGCAACAATATATATAATAATATAATATAATAAGATATAAGAACTAGAAGAACTGGAGGCACTATTAGGTTGCTAAAGTTGTTCATTGGAAACCAGGGCTGTGCTCTAGGGTGACTAGAAAATTTCAGATTTTTCATACAAATCATATGCTGGGCACCCTTTCCTATATTTTACAGGTTCAGAGCACTGGGCACCCTTCAATTTTCCTCAGGGCACGGCCTTGGAAACTCTGTCAAAATTATGATCTGCAGTGCAACAAAACTTGGTACGATTATTCTCCAGAGGAAGTTATGAAAAATGACCAAGTGAAGTTACTGTGGGATTTGAGAATTCAAACAGGCCATCATTTAGATCATGACAGACCCCATACAGTCATACTGGAAAAGGAGAGCAGAGTGTGCCAAATCGTCCATGTGGCATGTCATTTTAATACCCGAATTGCAGAAAAAGAACAAGAGAAGATCGACCACTACCAATACCTAAAAGTGGAAATACATTGTACAAGAGATATGGAACTGCAAAAGTGTATCTGTTGTTTTAATTGGGGCAGGGCAGTGACCAAAACTTGATGATGCGGGTTACTACGATAGGAACACCTGGAATCTTGAACTTACTCCAGAAAGCCTGATTGTTGGGAACAGCAAAGATCTTAAGAAGGATCCTAAAAACCTAAGGGTATAGGGAATAGCTTGATGACCTAGGGATAAGTGACCACCGATACAACTAGTGGTGAGAGATATGAAAAATAAGAATAATATAATAATGATAACAATATAATTGAATATTACAATTTAAATAATGTTCAGTAATCTAGATAAGATAGATAACTTAAAGATAGAGCGTCGCAATATTCTCTTGAAAACAGACACACATTTTAAAATGTTTTTACGCTTTTAAAAGTGCATTTAAGAGTAATATATTTCAAATAGATTTGTCCTTAAAATCTTTTTTGCTAAGGGCTTCTATTTAAAGGGATCAAGAAATGTAAAATAGTTGTGACAATAACTGTTTTCACACTTTTAAAAGTACATTTAAGAGTACATGTAATATATTCCAAATAGATTTGTCTGCAAAATCTTTTTTTGAAAAGGGCTTTTATTTAGAGGGATCAAGAAATGTAAAATAGATGTGACAATAACTGTCATCTAAACTCTAGTTGTTAAGAATTGTGTTTATCAACATTCATGTTAATAAACACATGATGGAAATGAACTTGAAAGCCTAAGCTCCTTTGGTCACTATGCACATTTCACCTTTCATGATTTACGTAATTTGTTGTTCTATTTTTTCTTGCTTTTGTAATGTACTGTAAGTTTTGTAGAAACCTCATTGTAATAGTGCAAAAAAAACATACGAAAAACTGAAACCGAATCAAATGCAGGTGAATTGTGAGATCATGTGACCTTATAATCGAAATAGGAAACAAATTTTCTGTACCTTCTCGTAACACATTCTGAATGGTGCTCCTTGGAGTATTGTCATCATGAAGACTTGCTCTTGTTGTTCCTCTTTTTGCTTCACTTTTTTCTGCTGGAACTGTTTTTGGTTTCTTTAGTTTCACGGCACTTTTAGCCACTGGCGCTATTTGCAGAAATCCTGAAATCTAGCCAGATGAAGAAGAGATGAAAATAGTAAGAATATCAGCTTGCACAAATGGCAAGAGGTTGCTTGAACTTATCAGCAACACTTTCAAAAAGTCCTTCATCTAATTTAATATGGCACAGGATAAAGGTTACTTGCTCAGCCACTTTGCACCCTAAAAAGCTGCTCCACTAATCTAGAAACTCCTAAAAACTTGATCTGCTTGCTTAGAAACTCGTGAGGTCGACTTGTTGAAAGTCCAATTATCGGCCTAAATATTTTAAGAGAATAAACTCAGTAATTAGGGCACCAACTTGCCTCCGCCATGCAAATATCTGTAAAATTTTGTGATTTTGTTCAGCTACATGTATAACCTTGTCTTGCTTGAGATCTATCATTTTTCAAACTTAGCAAGTTTACTAATTTCTAGGTGCTCTTTCTTCAGCTGTGTTGACAGGTTTTCGCCAAATGATTCTTATCACAACCTTAAAAAAAAACGTGCAAGGGTCTATTTTTCTGTTGCTATGCATGATTCAAGTGGTAAACTGTAGTGTTCTTACCAGGAGTTTCTACACTGGGGTCCAAAGAACACATAGAGAGGCTAAAAGGGGGTCATGAGGGAGAAAAGTGGTCACAATTTTTAGATAAAGTTAACTCAGCACTTAATCACAGGTCTGAGTTAGAGTAGCCTGCGAAAACATCCGTTTCTCCTCGCTCTTCACCGCTGGGGATGTTTCACAGGCTAGAGTTAGAGTAAATACCTCACACTTTCTTAGATAATAGAAATAAGGAAATGTACACATGTTTACGTATGTTTATGTTTATGTACGTTTTGTAAGAGGTTTTTTTTGCCTTTGTGCCCTTGAGATCCCTTGGGCTTAATGGAGCAGCATTTCCTGGAAAAGTGTGACAATGCCACAATGCCGTGGTCTGGTATAAAGAACTGTTCTTGAGGCAAAGAATTTGAGGGCGGGGTTTGGTTGCATAAAGAATCTTAACATTATGAAGACTCTTGCGTATTGTTTCAAAACAATAAGTTATTGTTTTAGAACAACAGTAAGAGCCCCTTCAACTTCTGCAACTGGCCCCACGGGTCATAAGGCCAGGTTAACCAGATGAGAGGGTATGACATGTATAGGTTTCAAAGATGTACAAAATAAATTTCCATGAATATGATGGTATTCCAGACCTTAAAATTGTAATGAATGAATTAATTAATTTTAAGCTTAACTAAAAATCTGGTAACATTTCTGTACAGTCTCATACATGTGTTGTGCAAAAATCTCATACTATTTCACACAGATAGTTTGTATGAATAGAGTCGAAACAGGAATGCATAATAAATGTATGGCGCTGAGCAGAAATCTTAACCGTTAGCTTATCATAGTCATAACTTACCAGAGTTCTCGGTGTCGTGGAATCAGATGGTGTTGTAGCAATAGCCAAAGGAGCTTTCCTTTTGTTCGCAGATCTTGACCGAGTCAACATACGGCTTGCTACCTCCGCCTGGGATGGAGGATTAACTGGAGTTTCCCTCACCTTAAACGCTCTTGGGGTTGTTCTCGGTCGCACACTTCTGGCGCTTTTACTAACGCTTGTTGTGGTCAATACTCCACGGATAATTTCTCGAGGGGTACCTTCGTTGACGTCCATTTTGCATTAAACACAAATGCCTTAGATCTTAAAATAGTTCATATATGAGCAAGAAAGTTTGCTTTTATCTCAAACAATGAAAAATTAACGGTTGTAGACAGTTACATTGCCGTAAAACCACTTAAAATGGTTTGAAAACGTATTTTTTGCACCCGCCATGTTTGTAGTTCGCGCCGATGTCTAAGATTTGCGTGGACTCACGGGATATCAACTAATGGCATGGTTACTAAGCCTCATGCAAAGTCATTCTCTGTTCACAACTTTTATTTCTTCTCGGCTATTTTTCTTCCGCTCATAAAAAGAATCTTAAAAACCAAACAGACATGTCGGGAGGTTCGTATGATAGAGCAATAACCATATTTTCACCTGATGGGCATCTTTTTCAAGTAGAGTACGCCCAAGAGGCGGTGAAGAAAGGTTCAACCGCGGTAAGCTTATTTTTTGAAATCTTTTCGTCTTTTTTTATTGACTCTCGCATTTGATGTCCACATTTTAAATGATTTCATTGAAAAATCATTGACAAACCCTTGTCTTAAAGGTTGGAGTCCGCGGCAAAAATATTGTCGTCCTTGGAGTGGAGAGAAAGGCGGTCGCTAAACTCCAAGAACCACGCACTGTTAGAAAAATTTGCACTCTGGATGACCACGTTGTCATGGCTTTTGCAGGTAATAAAAGTTAGGATTTGTTAAGAAAAAAAATGAGTTAAAGAACTCTCAGTTAATAGTTCCTTGTTAATTTGTGTCGTAGGTTTGACAGCGGACGCTAGAATTTTAGTGAATAGAGCCCGTGTAGAATGTCAAAGCCACAAACTTACCGTTGAAGATCCTGTTACTCTAGAGTACATTACAAGATATATTGCGACCTTAAAACAGGTAAATAAGTTTATGTTTTGTTTAGGTTTCTACCTATTCAAAGGTCTGTTTTTTGGAGAATTTTAGAACACTCGCGGTCTAGTCACGTGGTAGAGCTATTAATATACGAAAAATTCAACCTGTGAAGTCGTCAATCCCATATGGTCTAGTGGTTAGGATCCGGCGCTCTCACCGCCGTGGCCCGGGTTCGATTCCCGGTGTGGGAAGGACATTGTTTATTTTTCTTTTTCTTTTTTTCTACTTCATTTTTTTCCCCTTAATTTTTTTGGTTACTGATTTTGATGTTAAAACCATACTGTTTTTTGAAGAAAAAAAAAAATCCAGGTTGATTTGTGGAAGGAACCATAAATACATATGATACCTTTTTTGTATAGTAAACATGACATATTGGTATTAATGTGTCGGTCAAATCGAAGCTTCAACATGCCCCCCCGGGCATACCCCTGGCATTTGACACCTTTGCCGTCCCCGGGAGGAGGGAATTTGATTATCAGAGTCTTCCAGGGGGTGGGGAATTTGATCCCCATGCTTTAGGGGTGGGGGATTTGAACTGCACCCCCGATTTCATGAAAAATCTTTGGTGTGGCGAGCTATCATGGGGGACGCGGTGTTAGAGGATTTTCGTGGACAAGATTGTGCCTTTGTGGTCAGTTGGTTACGAGAAAAGGGCTTAAACAAGCTTTGTGCTGTATTTGAAGTATTTGAATTTTAAAATTTTTAATACTGGATTCAGGCTTTGAATGTATGAATGCATTTTATTGTTGTGTTGACAATGAAATACAACACCTATACCAACGATTCAATACAACAACATAAAATGAAATAAAAAGCTCAGGTCAACTACTTTGACCTACTGCAAGTATGTTAATTAATAAGGTGAGCGATGATGCATGTCACTGAAATGGTCATGATGTAGTAATCTCAATAGGTGGGATTTTTTTTATAGAACGCTTTGTATGTTGCATGACGAAAAAAAGCTGAGCATTCAGTTACCTTGTAGCAGCAATTTCCGCCGCTTTGCACGAGACTTTTGTTCGTAGTAAATACACTAACAGTGTTCCTCAGTTTTTGTTATATTTATAAAGATTTTGTTCCACAACTGAAGGCGTTTCCACCGTCTTTCTGTCATTTATGTGCCTGTGAAATGTCCCGGGGGTGGGGGCATTTGATCACCTGAATGGACCCTAGTGTGGGGCATTNCAAAGATCCACATGCTTGGTCTGAATACAAAAACCTTTGTCGCGAAGTCAAACATGAAATAAGGACGGCTGAGAAAATATTCATCGCGGAGCAAGTTGTAAACAACAAAAACAACTCTAATTGCCTCTGGAGAGCAATCCGCTTGTGCATACCCAAGAAGTCCGCTTCTCAAAGGAATTATTCCAAAGATGACAAAATTGTTGCTGATGAATTTAATAATTTCTTTTCCTCTGTAGGAAAGAGTACCATCAATAGAATTACTAAATTGGCAGAGGAATCGAATTATACTCTTAATCAATGTTCATTTATTCCGAGAATCTACCCATTGTCAGAGCAGTTCACCTTCAACGCAGTGAAGTGCGAACAGGTACAAAAAATTGTCACATCAATGGCCAGTGGTAAGGCCCCTGGGATTGATAAAATCCCAATCCATGTGATCAAAGATTGTTTGCCTGCTATCTTGCCATCGTTAACGTCTATTATTAATGCTACCTTTGAGTTTGACACCTTCCCTTTGGCCTGGAAAACAGCTGAAGTGACACCGATACTCAAGGCTGGAGACCACGATATTCCAAACAATAATAGACCGATTTCATTACTCCCTGTCCTTTCTAAAGTCTGTGAACGTGTCGCTCACAATCAACTTACGTCATATCTACTTTCGAGAGGCCGTTTATCATCCAAACAAAGCGGAAATAAACAGTGGCATTCAACGGAAACATCTGTCATTCAAACAACTGACGAAATCCTAAATGCCATTGACAAAAAGAAACTGACTGCAGTTGTCCTCCTTGATCTAAGCAAAGCTTTCGACAGTATTGACCATCAAATACTCCTCGCTAAGTTACAGGACATTGGTGCGTCCAGACCTGCGATAAAATGGCTCGGAAGCTATTTAACCTCGCGATACCAATTTGTGCGAATAAATACAACTCTGTCGACCAAACTACCTGTTAGTTCTGGCGTTCCACAAGGGAGCATCCTTGGCCCATTACTCTTTAACATCTACGTTAATGATCTCCCTTCTGTGCCAGAAAATTGTACATCGCAGTGTTACGTCGACGATACCAAACTTCTCATGTCATTTCAACTCCGCGATCAGCACGAAACGATAGAAAAAATGAACAAGGACTTGTTAAGCATTAGGAATTGGTGCTTTGATAATCAGCTTTTACTCAACCCAGATAAAACAAAACTAGTGATATTCGGCAGCCGGCAAATGACTGCTAAGGTTAGCGACTTTAGGCTATTTCTATTGGGGAAGGAACTCGAGCCCGTTAAGGCTGCAAGAGACCTTGGTGTCACACTGGACTCTAACTTAACATATAATGAGCATATTGTTTCTACTGTATCCTCATGCATGTCACGTTTGGGTCAAATTAACCGCGTTAAGCATATTTTTAATAAACACGCGCTAATTATTATTATAAATGCCTTAGTTTTTAGTAAATTATTCTATTGCTCTTCTGTTTGGAGCAATACTACTCAAACTAATCTGGACAAGCTCCAAGCAGTACAGAATTTCGCTTGTCGTATTTTGAGCGGCGCTAAAAAATTCGATCACATAACTCCTTTGCTAAAAGACTTGCGCTGGCTACCAATCAGGCAACAACTTTATTTTCGTTTTGCTGTTCTGGTTTTTAAGTGCATGACGAGTTGTGCTCCGGAGTATTTGACATCAAAGCTCGTTGGAAGATCCGCCGTCTCGACAAGGAATACGAGAAATTCTCAACTTTTGAACATACCACTCTTCCGCACTGCCAGCGGCCAAAGGACCTTTCAATATAGAGCAACCTCTCTCTGGAATGAGTTGCAGCCTGCGCTCAAACTTAGCCCATCCGTGACGGAATTCAAGTGTTTACTCAGGCAAAAGCTTCTTAATGACTGCTTTATTTAATTAATTTAATTAATTTTATTGACCTTTGTCTTCTTTTATCATTGTTATATTCTTATTGTCATGTACTTGGTTTATAATTTTGTAATGTAAAATTGACTCTGAAAAGCCCCATGCGGACGAGCCAATAAAGTATGTATGTATGTATGCATGAATTTAATCATTGATAAACAACATACATTTTTGTGCTCAGGGATCCCAAAAAATTACAGGCAACCCAAAGATTAGTGTCCTACTCACTTTGGGGCTTGTGGCAATAAAATAATTACTAATTAATAATTTGTTAATTATTATTTTTAACATGTAACAAGTTGCTTAAATCATTTTTTAAAAGCGCTACACCCAAAGCAATGGTCGCCGTCCATTTGGCATTTCTACACTTATTGTTGGGTTTGACTATGATGGTACTCCACGCCTTTACCAGACAGATCCATCTGGAACATATCATGCTTGGAAGGTGACTATCTCCTTGACTATTTTAAGACAGCTTGGTACTCTGCACCATTTTCATCAATAATTATTATTATTATTATTATACATTATACTCACTATCTCTCCTCTCATTGGCTAAGATCCTAAAGTTAGTTTTGGAAATTAGCACAACCTATTTAGTTATCTGCCTGCTGATTAGTGACTAAACTGTAGGTTGGGACCGCAATGCATGATTTCCAAGAGCAATCTCAAACTGTGTTCCATGTGATGCTGTGTTTATCCGTATTTTCTTCAAAACAATGTACAATAAAAAATATTATTAGATACATGTTTTGTGATATCCAGAATAATCAATCCATGGTTGGATTTAGGGGTGGGCCAAGGCATTTGTGGCAATCTTATCTCAGTCACTGTCAACAACAACAGTCCTATTCAGGACTATGTTCACCCGAACGATCAAACTCAACCTATCTCCGAAATCTTGAAAAAAAAATTTTTTGAGTAAAATATTAAAATGCAGTTAAATGTCAGTTAAGTGACCTCCTATTTAGATAGATAGAGATATATGGTTTATTAAGGGGTCTCACTCTATTAAGTGGCCAGTTTAAAGTCCAAAAATAATAATTGTAAAAAAGATTGGTAAATGTAACTTCTAATAAATGACCACCTCAATCAAGTGGCTCTGGTAACTTGATGTTCTGCACCCCTCCCCCTTACTGTAACTGACGTTTACTGTAACTCCTGATGATACTCTCTGATCTTTATTTTGTTCATGTTTTGTCTCGGTAGGCAAATGCCATTGGCCGCAGTGCAAAAACTGTTCGTGAATTTTTAGAGAAACACTACACAGATGAAGTAGCTGACTCAGACGATGAGACCATTAAACTAGCCATTAAAGCTCTGCTTGAGGTATGTAGAGATGAGCATGATGTTTTTGGTAACTTGCAACTTAAACTGACAAGCATAACAGAGGAAATCCAGGGATTATTGTTGGAGGTTTCCCGATTGTAGTGTACACCATTGAAGGTGTAATCATTCCACCCTTACAGGCTGTTACACTTCCGAGCGTATTTACTCGAATAGGCGTCACTTTACAGGGCTCAACGGCCAGTCAATGGACAATGTCCGGCCAGAATAGCATCTTGACCGACCAAATGCTCCACTGACTGGTCATGTTATTGATCACGCAGACTCTTATTCTTGAACAAACAGCTAAATCCTTTCCTAAAAATCTTTTTGACTAATCTTTCAGACACATGCAGTTGTCATAATGAAATGCTTACAGGCGTGTGTTATTTCCAGGTTGTACAATCAGGAGGGAAGAATATTGAACTTGCAGTTATGAGAAAGGGGGAAACTCTTAAGGTAATCAGTAACAAGTATCGGTAGTTGTCTTCGTGAATGAACATGAAGGTTCGTAGATTGTGACGACCTTCATTTTTTCTGGCCTGAACTTAAGCCCAGTCATCATTCCTTATCCTTTAACATTTCAAATGTGTGTAATGTCCGGCAGATTAACAATCAGTGATAAACTCGAATCCCCCGTAAGCGACTACCCAAAATGCTAAGAGTTAATAGGGAGCTTAAGCGACGGCGACGGCGACGGCGACGGCGACGGCGACGAAAACGTCACTTAAAAAGTGAACACGCGCTGCCTCAAACTTTATGGCGCTTATCATTTCCATCTCGTTCAATTCCTCAAATGTTGTCAAATTTTTTTAGAGTTGAATTCTAAAGAACTGTATCAAAGTTCAGGAAAAGAAATAGAAAGTTGTTGTCGTGTGTTCCCGTCCTCGACAAAACGTGAAATTAGGCATTTTCACGTTGTAGTCGTGCAATGACGGCTAAGAAATGTACAAAAATGGTGATGCACGTGCAAAGTTGTTGTTCTGCCAATCTAAACGGTTAAACTCTTGCTTTTTAGCCGTTGTCGTTGCCGTCGCCGTCGCCGTCGTTGTTGCTTAAGCTCCCTAACAGCCGCTTAAGAGAGGTAGTCGTTTATGAGAGTCGAACATCACAGGATCTCTCTCCCACGTGAAGAGGTCTGAACACATCTTCTACTTGGAAGAAGTGTATTTCCATGTTGTCACTTAAGTTCTTCGCACACTCTGAATGGTGTGTAGTATAGAGCAAACTTAGAGAAAAAGAAATGCGTCAAGTAGTCGCTTACAAAGGTTCAAAAAAATCAGTGAAAAAGTCTTAGTTATTTCGAGCAACAACAACTTGCCGCTCATAACGTCACCCCAAAAGCGTTAAGTTTCTTAAGGTGATCGAGAGTAGTCGCGGTCCTTTTCGAGGGGTGGTCGCGTTAATAGAGAGGAGAAGTCGTTACGTCACGTTGCCATAGTAGCACAATTTTTGGATGACAACAAACTGGTTAAGCCACTTAAAAGTCTATTCGCACTTTTTCGAACTTCACCCATCTTATTCACTTTCATTAAAGTTGGTAAATCTTGGCGAAATTGTCTTTGGGACCTTACCTATCGTTATCTAAGTTTTAGAAAAAGAAAGCGATAATTTTTGTGTTGTGTTCACCTACTCCATAAAGCGGGCTCGTGAAATTAGCAAGTTTCATGTCGTAGTGGTGCAACGAAGGCAAAGAAATGTACAAAATAGCGTGATGCACGTGTAAAGTTGTTGTTCGTTAATTTAAACAAATTATTTTTTTGCCGTTCTCCTTGCCGTCGCCGTCGCCGTCGTCGTAGGGTTTGTTGTCATCCAGAAATAGTGCTTCCATGGTAACGTGACGTCACACTTCTCCTCTCTATTGCCTTGTCCCTGTACGGCGTTTCCCAGTCCCTCTCGGTCAATTCACTTCGGTGAAGTATCTGAGGCGAACGGGCGGGAAACACTGGTCTTGTAAACATGAGCTGTCTCACTTTTGTGGATTTTTGTCTAGGCCTCACATTTTTGCTTGGACCACGTGACCCAAAACGCTTTGGCCGCGCGGAATAATGAGGCTTGGGGACTAGGCGAGTCGTTTACGTGAGATTGAAACTATAGTAATTTGTCTGGGAAAATTTTGATATTTTGGATCGGTGCTGGCTTAGGGAGGTGGTCGCTTGCAATAGGCGGTCGGACATGAAGGTTTGGCTGTAATTACACTTGCCACCACATGCAACGCTTCCCCTTGAATTAGACCAAAGTTTCATGGTCCGTAGCTAGGGCTTAAACCTTCCACGCAGACGTTCTCAGGGTGTTGTGAAAGTCTAGTTTTTTCATTCCATCTCTTCACTGAAACCTTCAGTGGTTCAGTGAAAGGCTCTGAATTCAAGAATTATTTTTTCTCTGTTGCAGATTTTACAGCCAGAAGAAGTCGACAAATTTGTAGAAGTCATCGAAAAAGAAAAAGAAGCAGAAGCAGAAAAGAAAAAGAAAGAAAAGGCCTCAGGATCAGCTAAATAAAAAAAAAAACAATAACTTGGACAGTTTTTTTTGTTTTTTTCATTGACAGTCGTAGGCTTGAGTTACCAAGCAACAACAGGAGTTAACCAAATTCAACACTTCAAGGGAGTTTGAGACTCACTGAAGTCATGCAAGAGTGTCGTAATGTTGGATTTTTGCCGATTCAAATTATTTAAGCTATTTGAATCTTGGAGAGAATGGGAGGCTAATGGCGGGGATTAAAACTCTTGTTAACTTTCAAATCCTTTGAACTTCTGTAAGCTTTGTTTCGTTTGGCTTACTAGTATGAGATGAGAGCGAATAGGTGGTACTTAAAAAAACGCATTTGTAACCTCTTGTTGCAACAAGAACTGATTCAGGTCAACTTCTTTACTATTGTGTCTCTTACTTCCTCTTTTGATCCTTAGCGCAAAATAAAACTTAACAAAAAGAAACAATGTGATCGATGTTTTTTTTGTTTTACTTCGTCTGGTTCACTTCTTTAATCTTGATACATGTATATCGAGAGTTTGCACGTGCGGTCACACATTTCTGCGTGACTAAACTAAGAGAATTAGAAAGTCCTATTCCGTAGAATTTTGCACAGCAAAAGACGGGAATTAAACGGGAAAAGGTTCCACTTTTCAATCTTACGATGCGTATGTGGCGGTTTTAATGTACCTATATTAGTAGGTACTTTGTGAAATAAATGAATACTTCTACATGTATGTTCATTCTTAGTACCAAAACTGTCCTCAAGAGTAAAACTTACTGTCTCCTTTCTTCATTAACAAAGGTTTTGTTCAGTGTTTGTTTAGCTCCTTGACGGTAGCGGTAGCGAACAGGGTAGGTTTTAACTACTTTTGCAGAAAGCCCAAGTTTGTCTCTTCAGGCTGATTTTCCTGCCTCAATGTATTGTTTTGTTCTTCAAAGATCTTTTTTCTTGTCTTTCAAATCCCTATACGTTGGCCTTTTTGAAAAACAGCTACTTGGAGAATTCTTCTTTCTGTACAATTGTTAATGAGCTTTCACCTTCTCGCGACTGCGATCCTTTTGATCAGCATCAAGGATCACTCACCGTGCGACCCGGAAAAAGCCTCAAAAAAATTATCTTTGATTGGCTGATAAAAACGTGTTCGTCACATGTTTATACAAATTTACCTGAGAACAACCCTCCGCTTGTGATGACTGGGAAGGTATAAATTCTTTGATGAATTTTCTAACTCAGTTTTCATTCCCTTGTTAGTCACAAGTTTGTGCCGTGCGCTGTGAGATTTTGACAAGGTTAAGGTGGCTCGCTACAGTTTTTCAGGGTCAATACCTCCTAAGTTTGAACATGAACTACGTCGCCATAAACAAAGATTGCCACCATAGATGTATTAGATAAAGATGAAAATTTGTTATAATCAGGGCTGCAACGACATCGGAATTGTCATAGCAACGAAATGACGCTATCAGCTATTTTGCTTGGAGCAGTATTTCTCGGCACTGAGAACTGATCTCCCAAAATCGTTCACGGGAGCTTTTTCCTTTAATAGCGGCCTCGATGTTCGTGAAGTTTAAGCGAAATCTGTAAGGGCGTTATCGAGATATTTTGAGATGAAGTTTTATGGTTAGAAACACAGTAAAAAATGGACAATCTTGATGTTTGGCCATTATCTGTAGAAACCGAAGCGCTTTTGACATGGAATTTCACCTCATAGCAGTTTCTATCTTTTTAGAAACGCGTGTGAAACATCATGATGGAGATAGCTCCAGCCAATTGCTAGAAAGAAGGGTTCGTTTAGTATGCATCAAAGCGCTCTTGTTAGCGGTTTTGTAAACATTTTGATCTTTAACAAATTAGAGAATAATTTTTAAACTGCTCGATAGATTTTTTTGAAAATATAAGATTCTTGAGATTAACCTTCCTTTTATATAACCTTTTAATTTTAAGATTATTGAGTATTGTAAGACAGTAAAATAACGGTTACAATTCGCTAACTTTTTATCGGAAGTTTCGTCATTACAAGTGAAAGCCTCTCATTATTCAATGTGTTGTCTCCAAGTTTCATTTTCACATGAACAGCAGTAACTACAACAACGTATTTGAAATATGCAAAAATACTAGCTATTGTTTTGCACGAAAATATGAAACTTGGGGACAATACCCTGAGTAATAAGAGGCTCTCCAGTTGTAAACACACAATTTTAAACAAAATATGAGTGAATTGTAGCCCTTATTTTGCTGCCTTTACCGTATTTCTAACCATAAAAAATTTATCCCAAAATATCTCGATAACGCTATCACAGATTTCGCTTAAACTTCACAAACATCGAGGCCGCTGTTGGAGGAAAAAACTCCCGTAAACGATTTTGGAAGAACAGTTCCCAGTACCGAGAAATACTGCTGCAAGTAAATTAGGTAATAGCGTCATTTCGTTGCTATGACAGCTACGATGCTGTTGCAACCCTGATCAAATTTTCATCTTTATCTAATTCAACTGTGGTATCAATTTTTCCAAATCTTTGTTTATGGCGACGCAGTTTATGCTCAAATTTGGGAGGTATTGACCCTGAAAAACTGTTAAAAGTGGGAAGGTGGTAAGTTAAAAACGCTGATAATTGCAAATAAAACTCCGACGTTTCGGCAATGCTGCCTTCACAGGGAAAATGTGTGAGTTCGTGATAGCAGAGAATTTTAACGAACTCACACATTTTCTCTTATGAAGGCAGCATTGCCGAAACGTCGGAGTTTCATTTGCAATTATCAGCGTTTTTAACTTACCACCTTCCCACTTTTAACACACACAAACACTACGCAGGAACCCCCTTTACTTGAAAAACTGTATCGAGCCACCTTACTTCCCTATCGCACGAGAGGATTTTTCATTTCAACTTATATGAAGTCGAATCTTCCTTCGGGGGCATTATGGTGCAACTTAAACGAAGTATCGAGATCCATTTGCCATACTTCAAGCATACTTCAGGGACTTTCTGCACTGAAGAAAGGAAAACAATCTCGCGTGCATAATGTCGATGACATTTGTATCTGGACGACAGCGAACAGAGCCAACTCAACAGACAGTCCAGTCGGTACGAAATCATGTTACTTTTAACATTTTAAACAGTAAGCTTATAAGCAGTGAACTAGAAGCGCACGTTGCTCATTGACAAACAAGATGACATGACCGTCCAATCTTATGATAAAAGTAAAGAGTTTGTGCATTGTTTGGAATATTATTGTTTTTTACAGATGGTTGGTTTATCTAAAAAAATTCTTTAATCTTTCAGCTACTAGATGAGAATTCACAGCTTATTCAGGTATAATATAAAGTAAACTTAAGCCTACAGATTTCAATTGAAATTTGTTGTTTGAAGGTAGTTTTGATTCAGCATCATACAAATTACAGTGAGTTTATATGTCGTCTTGTTTTTACTTGGTAAAATTTTTTTGTTTTGTTTTTTATTTGCTATTTGTTCTTATTGACTCTCTTAAAACTAAAACGAAAGTAATTATTTATCACCGACTCTCGCCACCGAAAGTCTAATATGTTAATCAGATTTGCAAGGGAAATAACCACCCCCAACGACAGGGGAAACATTTGAAAAGCTATTCTTTATTGATCCAAAATCAGCTGAGAAAGAATGCAAATCAATAACAGGATGGAGAACTATAGAGGAAAAGAAAGCATTAAAATGTTCAACTTCTTAATTAGTTGACTAAAATGTTTTGATTTCTCATGTAAACTATGGGTTGAAATGTGTTTACCTTAATTTTGGTTTTACCTCCAGGCTATTGTGGATTACCAAAATAAAGGAAAGGCATATGAATGCACACAGTAAGTATGGCAGAAAATGTAATAAGAATAATGATCATTGTGATGAGTATCACAATTTAGCATTATTTCATACAATATTGTTGCTCTTGTTCTTGAACATTCATTCCAGCCTTCTTGATTTAATTAGGAGTTTCCTGATTTGAGTTGCTACCTCTTTCTCTGTCGATTTTTCAAACACACTGCTGATTTCTGGAGAAAGGAGAGAAAAAACTAAAATGAAAAATTTGGAGTTTGTTTTTAGCAACAAATGGACTGTCTAGCGTAGAGAAGGCAGTGATGGTAGGACTGGATAAGAATGTTATCCAGAGGCCCCAAGTACAATGACTGGCCTGAAAACTAGCTGGATTTCCTCTCAGTAGTCCTTAGTTCAGATTCTCATTCATGCTTGTAAATGGCCTACTGGTTTGTCATTAACCATTTGAGATTCTTAACTCTGTCACACTTATTTGAATTATTTGGCCCTATTGTTGGTTATTCATCCCACTACCGTTCGGTGTATAAACACTGCCGAAGGTGGATAAAAAAGATACTTGTAAATATTATTTTAACAGTAAAAATGTTGCTAAAACATGACATGTGACCATGTAGAGTCATGATCAATTCTTCATGGGGTAGAATAATTATATTCTGATGAACATGTCTTACAAACACCCCTCTCTTACAAACGTAACCAGTGCCATTGGCAAAATAAGTCTCCCTATTTTCTGTATTTTAGGGTTGAAATGTCTATTGCTATGATCATTTCTTTCTTTTAAAGGAGAAGTTAAAAGACTGAGATTTTCTACTGGCATAAGTCAAAATAAGGAAGTGATGAATTGATGTTTAAAAATGATATTTATATTAACATGCTTTGTAGTGACAATCCAATTTCCTAAGTACAGTGGAACCCCACCCTACGGATTCTTGCGTAATAGCCTTAGGGACACCCGTATATAATGAACAGTTTCATTTGTCCCAACAAAAAGCTCCTTTTTTTTTTCTTAATTGACCTGCTTAATATGGACAACAGACAGTTGCGTGTGTCGTGAGTCACAAACTTTCTATTTATTGTCAGCTCAGGTGCTTTGTGGACAATGATTAGCTGTGCACTGTTTATGACTGAACTTTTTAAAAAAGGATCTGTCTAATATTCAGTCCACCTGGCTGAGTTGAAAACTAAAAGCATCAGTACAAAGTCACAGATTCCATTGACATGTTTCGTGAACAACACTTAAAACTAGAGGTAATTTTAGACCAAGACCATGATAAATGATCATAAGTTATCATTAGGATGAACTTCATACAGTCACAGTTAAGTAATTAAGCAAGGTTTTCTGTTTTCTTTAGTCTAAATATTGATAAAAACATGTATCTGTGAGGTTATTTTTTTCTGTGAGCCCACTTAGTACTGACACCTGAATAATAAGGACACTATGGCATGTCCCCTTGATGTAACCACCACTGTGGTGTTATTTTATAGCTTCACTAATCATTGTGGATCTACTTTTTGTCCTTAGATACCAGCAACTCTTGCACCGCAATCTAGTGTACCTTGCTACATTAGCTGACTCCACTCAAAGCATGCAGAACACCATTCCTGTATGTGCTCATTAATAGTACAGTTACAGATAATGTGCTTATTTAGGGGGGCCTTCATAAAGAGGGGGTTGGGGGTAGACTGTAAGTAGGACTTGTCCTCCTATTTGGTTTCCAGTTAGGGGATTAAGACATGCACCCTATTGCATGGATGGAGTTTTTGTTCGTACAATATCTGTAAAGATTTTACCAATTAAATTAATGTAGATGTAAAAGTAGATGTATTGTCAATTTTTAAATGGCTGTAAAAACAGTGTTGCAACCAATTTTATAATTATACTCCTGTAATCCTAAATGGAAAGGGTTGACATCTGAAATCACCAAATTAGTAATGGTAACAGGACTGAGTGGAGTCCAATTCGGTCTGTAATCATACGAGTGATTAACAAAATCGGACGACCACGTAGCGGGAGTCCGATTTGTTTAATCACGAGTATGATTACAGACCGAATTGGACGACACAAAGTTCTGTTACCAATTAATCGTAACTTTAACAAAATTTGTGATATAATAGGCTATTTTTTAAATTAAAACACAAGAAATTCGAAATTTTGTTATGCTAGCAGTGAAAAAAAAAGCCATTTAAGTGCGCGCGTGATGGCGCGTACTGTCCAATTACTTAGGCATGAGGCGTACTGTCCTATTAACTGTCCAATTAAGGCTGAAATCAGGGCAGTTGATAGCCAATCAGATTTGACAATTTTGTTATAGTTATGATTATTATTATAACAGGCCCCAGGTGCACAGGGAAGTTCCACAATGAAGACACCTCCGGTTTCAGTTACCCCACCTACAGGCTCTGGTATGTTACAACCAGGTGTACCAGACATGACACCCAACTCCAGCTCATCTACAGACATGATGTCAAATGCACCGGTAATGAACAGTGGAATGCCATCAGGCATGAACGATCCTATGAAGTCTAACATGCCGTCACAGCTTGGAGGAATGACTGGTCCCACCTCAGCAGGTTATGGTGCCAGCTCTGTTAGTGGGATGGGACAGTCCACTTCATCTCCCCCTCAGCTGCAACATCCACCTATGACAGTGCAGAGTCATATGGGGTATCCTAACCCTCCTCAGACCCAGCCAGGCCGACCTATTGCCCCACCCCCAATGTCAGCATCCATGGGTAATTTACCTCCTCAGGTGCCAATTCAATCCCATGCCCCACCCATGGGTCAACATATGTTGTCCCAGAACCAGCAGCAATCACAACAGTACATGATGCAGCAGCGGCAGCTCTCATATAGACAAGGAGCACCCCAACAGGTCTGTTATGTTTTATGTTTCGTTTAATCTGCTATCAGGGAGCCCTGTCATCAAGGGCCGGGCGACGGGGATTCCCCCGGCTACTGTAAACATGGTCCCCGGCTACATGTACTTTCATAGGAAAATAGAGAAAAAATATAACCAAAAGAAATCAATAGCTTTTGATACCCCACCTAGTCCTTGTATTTAGCTGGCAACTTGAAATCTTAGTGACAGCCCTGTGCTATCATTTTCACATTCTAATCAGGTTTTTCTCCAGAAAACATCCTATAGCCTTCAAGGAGAGGATGATTTCATGGTTTCCTCCCTCATTTCCACTGCCCAAAGCTGAGGCCTATGGGTTGCTGTATTATACTGACCTCAGAGGAAATATTTTTATTAAGACTGACAGGTTTTTTTAGATTGGCATATATTTAAAATCGTCATCTAGCAGCCAGATTGTTTGCTGTGATTGGGAATGATGTTTTAGTTCTCATGATTTTTATGAGAGTCAGTAATAACTTTGTTGGTGGAAAACATTACATTTTACAGCAGGCGACAGCTGTTATAATCACAATGTTAAAAATATAAGGTTGAAAATACATGTACATGACTGTTTAGTAAACAGTTAAATTGAATGGTAGATTAAGGTTCCAGATGAAATCAAGCCATACAAGATAACTGTAAAATGTCTAAGTTTATGTCAGAAAAAAAGCATACACTATAGTTTGTGGGAACAGCCGTTCCTCACTGCTCCTCACCACTGGGGACTCGGCGACAGAAATACCATACTGATGACGTAAATCAGTGTTTATATAATAAATCGGGTTGTCATGGGGTTCCAAATGCAAAATTTGTTCAATTTTGTGTTTCTCCTGGTTGATTTTGGTAAAGTGTTGTGTTCTTCTGCGAACGAGCTGCAGCAAAACTCAAATGCTTCTTCTAGAGAAGAATATATTCCACAAATTTTGACTGTTTTCTTATAGTTTCAGCGCATTTGCATTTGACCTTTGTAGCCTTTTGTCTTTTGTCTCTCGTTCGTAAATAATAGCTAAAATTTATTTTACTACTCCATCCTCCAATCAGCACTTATGACCGGATTCTGGACAGATTTTACATCATCATATGGAATTTCTTTGCTGAGATGTTCCTCCGCGCGAAACATCACCAACGGAGAGGAGCAAGGAGAAATGGCCGTTTTCGCAGGCTACATACTCCACTCGGATGTTCAAAATAAGTATTTCTTGATTTTGTATCCTAGATGCCTCAGCAGCAGCAGCAGCAGCAGTCTCTATCACACAGTCACCCTGGATATGGCCCTCCAACAACAGTAGCAATGCCATCAGGCAACATGATGCCAGGTTACCCTCAACAACCACAGCAACCACAAAGATACAATCCGTACAGACCTCCTCCCCAACAGCAAGGCTTGTCACACATGCCGTACCCTGCACAACAACAGCCAACACCTATGCAGGGACAATCTGTCATGGGTCAACCGTCACCTATGGGACAAGCACCTGTAGGACAGTCACCAATGCAACAGCCACCTCTAGTGTGATGTGATACAAAGATTTGAAGATTGTGACACAAGATGCATAATTCCTACAAAATTATTCTTCAGATTTTGTGGCACATTTTGTGAAGTGTGATTGCATCAAGCAAGTTGGAAGAGGAGTTCCATGTTGTGACAAGAACACATGACATGAATTGTGTCATTTAACATGGTGTTGGATGACTGTAATACAAAGGTTGAGAAAACAGCCAACATATTTTGTGATGTCAGTAAACAGTTTCCCTGGGAAGTGATGTCTTAGGATGAGTGCAGAAAGTCCGTGGATTAAAATAATATTGTTTCTTCACTCCTTTCTCAGTCATCATCTTGCAGGGAAATTATTGGTGGCATGGCCAAATGTCCATTGTTTTTGCTTGCTACATACAAGTAATGCACAATACAAAAATGTTGTGACACAAGATCAGAGCTAGTCACATAATGACTAGTTGTAGCAGGATTTTAACTGTCTTTATAGAAAGATTACCAATTGTGCCATTTGACATTAGTTGTTACATTTAATTAGGTGTCATGGGCACAGTTAGGGATATTATTTTACAACACTCATTTTTAAATGTAACACAATTTCGTTACATTGTATTTTGGTAAGACTGTGCCTTTATTGTCCATGACATTGTTTTGCGACAGTTTTAAGGCTATCATCATGATGTGGCTACACTTTCATCATGGGTAAAACAGAAATATATTCATGTACGTAATGGGTTTATTCAGTGTTTCCTAGATGAGAGCAATGAAAAAGTTAAAAAGACAGTAACGCACATTTTAAGTTATCATTTTGTGTCAGCATATTCCATGATTGGTTTGGATCTGTTTGTAAGGGGTTGTTGATGTGTCAGGATTTAAAGGCCCATGTTCACCCAAGCTGCTTTGCATGCTTGTGTATTTATTTTGAAACACTTCTTTTGTCAAATTCAGTGTTTTGATTGGGCAAAGTGTGACTCTACACACGCTGAAGACAATTTTTAACTGTGCAAAATCAATTTTTCTGGAGTAGTCAGGGTGTGCAAAGCCACTTGGGTGAACATGAGCCTTTAAGATGTATAAAGACTAAAGATCTAGTGAATTGTATGATAAAGTTGTGGTTCAATTTTATCCTTGATTTGAATTTTACTTTTCCTTGTTTTAAACTCATTAACACAGTCACCATACCTGTAAACAATGCAAAGTGAATTTAAACCAAGGATAAAACTATACCACAAATAGATGTGGTGTACATATTTATATTCAAAGGGCTACTTTACCTATTAAGATATGAAAACTGTTAACATTAATTTGTTTTATACAAACTAAGATAGACTTTGGAAGGATAAGCTAATAGTGTGCTTTTACCCAACATCACTGTACAGTAACCTGTAGAAATATATGAATTAAAGGGGCCTTAAGGGCAAAAAAAATCATGTAATTATCCAAGTGAGAATCATCGTTTAGTTAAATTAAAAATATTAACTTGTTTACAGGTGGTGTAATTGCCTCTATTTCATCAACATTATTTATTCACTTCTTGTAAATTGGGAGTAAGAATAACCAAAATCTTATGTTACTAAACTGTTTCACCTTTGGAGTTTGTGATAACATTATGTAGAGAAGTTTATGTATTATGAAGAGAAGGGCCTCTTTCCTATAAATTGTATGGAGCACAAAGGTTCAGGGTATGGGACATCAGTTTTCTTAAAAGTTAGAATATTTGCCTAATCAGATTCAATAGTGCGGCTAACCTGATTCATATTCCCGCTGTGCTAAGTAATACCTCAAGCTCTTGAGCTAACTAAATACCACTTTGATGATGTTACATAACAATGGTTCATGCTTTGGCTGTGTGTATATCGAGATAAACAAATTGGAAAGCATTCAGAGGCTAGAGTTGCTCACACCTCTTCCCCACCATCCAAACTTCCTGCATGCTTCATATCTCGAAATATGCACAGCTAAAGCATGATCCCATTTATTCGTTAATTAAAGTACACATGGAGGGTGGCTGCAATCCTCCCCTACCCTCTGTAAACGCTGTTAATTAGTTTGCTCGAACAAAGTGGGGGAGCTTATACGCCCCAATCTCCACCATCCTTAGGTTCTAAGATTAGAGAGATTTAGAGTCACCTTAACGGCAAATGCCGAACGTTAGATTCAAGTTGTTAAATTCTTAAAATTGAAAATGAGCTGATAAAAATGGCTCAAAACGATTCTTATGAATGGAACTGGCGTGAAACTACAGAGAAACCTGTATTAAGTGGACACCATCGGGGAATGCTGTAGTGTCCGCTTAATACAAGGTGTCTGCCTAAAACAGGTTTCAATAGATAACGTCATGTGAGATGTCTAATGCCATTCAAATGAACAGTGGAAACGTTTAGAATACTCCCAGAGACTATGACGATGTACGTTTGCATTAATTTCTTTATTAAGTGGACCAATTGATCATAGTACCCTAAACATAGATTGCAACTCAAATTTGAAGAAATCTGTTGAGTGAAACATGGTCTATACAAACAAAACGAAATAGAAAACAATACTGTACTGTGAAACTAATCAAATAAGTTCGTCAAGTCACGTTTTTTAATGTAACAAGAATGTCCTTACAGCGGCAATCAGTCTCGCTTCCTTGGAGCAGATCGAGAAATGAGAAGGCGATTAATTCTACACGTAGCCCCCCCGGGCCACTGTGGGGCATTTGTTCGCCTTGTCAGGTTCGGGGGGGGGTGGGGCATTTGCAAATTTTGCGCTGCCCGGGGGCCGGGCATTTGTCAACCCCGGGGCTTTTCCCAAGCTTTTGACACGCACGCGGTTTCCTAGCAGAATATAACTACACAGAGGATTTTACTGGAAAAACAAGCAGATTGGCTCATCTGTCAAGGACAGGAAAAAATTGAGGAGGTTTGTAAAGGCATGTTCTCAATTTTATGCATGCATTTCTTCATTGGTTATTAAGCCAGAATTACATAGCGAAATCGGGAGCTATCGACGTGAAACAACGTTTTTTTGCCTATTGAATCAAATTTCTGTGGATATTATTTGAAGAACATCCTTTCATATTTAAAAAACTATTCATAACAGTTAACTTTACAGCACATTTTAATGTCAATAATTCTATAACAATACTAAAACCATAAACTGATGTCGTCACGGCGTGAAGTCTTAATTAGAATAACACTATTACAAAGGAAGACGTTAATTGAAACAAAAAATCGCACATTAAAATGCTACTACTCGACTATGCGATCAATGAAAAATGTTGCAGTGTTGACGGAGGACGGGGATTTAACAGCTCAAGAGTCCCCACCCCCGGGAATTTGCCATCCAAAGCGAAAAAAGTGCTAATGCACGGGGGTCAGCCCGCGGGGGGCGGGGTGGGGGAGGGAACTGAGCGCAGCTGGAATTGACTGATGCATCATCGACGTCAGGAGGCTCCTGTCGACGTCGATAGTTTTTTGTTTCTGAATTGATTTAGTACGTGCGTTAGCGACGACCAGAAATACGTCTGCAGTCGCAGGCTATACGCGTGTATAAATACACGAAAATTCTAGGCCTCGATTCCAGGGAAATTACATCATTTCCAGAGATCAAAAAAGTGATTTTCAAGGCACGTCATTTCAATCATCACCAAAAATAAATCCCATGCTCATCACAAGACTCATTTGCATAGAATGAAAGTTTTCAACACCCGACCATGGCAGTTTTACTAATTAAGATTCTTCTTTTTTTTCGACCGCTCAGTAGTGTTCACTTGTTCCAAAGTAATCAACGCTTTCAAGCGATAGAATCCGTGGACCGACACGTTTCGGAGAAGCTCTAAATTTAAAATCTTTCCTAAACTTTCTTCGCAAAACATGCGTGGCTTCGATCACCCAACAATTCTTAGTCCCAGTTTCCACGGTCTCCGCTAGGAACGCCTGGCACAATGACCCCCATTTGTGTATAAAATACGACGAAAATCTCCGGGGCGGGGGGTACTTCCAGAAAAATTGGGTGGGGATGTGCGGCACGCTTCCTGAAACCCTTACCCTATTTCAGACCAAAATCTGTGATTTTTCCTACCCTATTTCACACCGGATCAAAAATTTGATAATCTACTTCAGGGGCCCGTTTCTCGAAAGTCCCGATAATTGACGGGCTCGTAAAGCCTTTGCCGTTTCCATGCAAGATCGAGGTCTCAATAGTTTTGCCTCTAACATGATAAAACTATCAGTTAATGAAAAAATTGGAGTAGTTTGCTAGCCAGGACCCGCGCTCTTATTCTTTTTATTTCGATTTGAATATTTGATTTCGGGCCCGAAAAGTTACCGGGACTTTGGGGGCGAAAAACGCGTTGCAGATCATGAGTCTCGTTGCTTACGCAAGCGAGACTAATTAGGCTAACAAGCCAACTGGAAGCAGGTGGTTGAATTGGTTCGTTCTAAACCCTCTCTCCTTCGCAGAGCCTCTTTGTGTTTTGGGGAGGCTGGGGAGAAAGAAAAAGAAAGCGCGGGGAATGATGGGCCCCCGAGCGCTTTCTATTTTTTCAATTATTGCTATTTTTATAGGGATACCCAGTGGGAGCCTCTGAGGAGGAGAGATGTTGCTATCTTTCTTACGCGGAGCGTTAATTAAAAATTTTGAAAGTGTCGTGTTTGCATTTTGGTCATGATGTAACTTCCCTCGAATCGAGGCCCTTGGTTTTCGTGCATTCATACAGGCGCCTATTAAACGCGTACATCGAACATAACTAAAAATAAAATAAAAAAAACATTAATCTGTTGATGGTGTAAGTCCGGTTAGATTGTGATGTACATAGTAACCGAAAAATTAACGAAAAGTACTTCTGTCAAACTCTACAAAATATTTCGCTTTCACTCGAATAGGCGCCGCATCCTCCCAGTGTAAACAACAGTGCAGTCCTTGTTGATTTTCCTTATCTTCAACAGCATCAAGCCATTTCTAAGTTGCTTTTAGCCTCTGTTTTAAAGAGAGGCTAAGTGCAAAGCCATTTACAGGAAAACTATTTCTTCTGAAAGGTTTTCCAGTTGGCTTCGTTTTGCCAGTAGTGAGGTTTTGAAACTCGGAAATGGCCTATCAGAAGTGGAAATAGACGCGTAAAAAGTAGCTTTTGTTATGAGCTTTTGTTGCGTTATTTTCTTTGTTGCCGTTTTCGGAGTTTGCAAAGGAAAAGAAAGGAAGACACGTGGTACCGTGCTGTTCACATATGAGAAAATATATTGCAAGCGAGGCCCTCAAACAGAATACGAAGTCGTGTAAGCGCTGCGGCGTTCATTAGAGTTCACGGCTGGAAATTAATTAGATTGCAAACTAACTAACCGTTTAAGACTACCGAGGCGGCTTAATGTGTTTGTGTTTGTAACGCCAACAATCTCGACTTGAATGAATGGAAATTTACATGAGCCAGCCTGTAATTGTCTGCAAACTTTTAAGACGCGTAGATCTGACGCACCACAATTTTTGATAACATGCAGGTCATTTTGTGCTTGATTCCTAGGCCGTATTCAATAAGTGTGCCAATCAATAAACATTTCCAAGGGCTTTTAGGGAAGGGGAAGTCTGGGGTGGGTACTCAATCATTGTTTAGTTAAGGTAAAAAACCACTGCAAAAACTGTGTACGAACAATCTTGCTCAACGTCGGATCCAAAAAGATCGTGATCGGTCAAAATATATAAAATTGAAAACGTTACAGTCAAGAAGACTTTTACATGGACTGATCAAACAACGTGAAATAGAGTTAAGTTGCGATATTTCGACTGGCCAATAGCAGTCTTCATCAGGTTTATTGAGATATCACGAATTTACAGAAATATATATGAAGTAAAATAATGACTGGAAAGTACATAATATGACGTGGTATGGTGTGGCTACTTAAAAAGACAAGATAACAAAAAAATAAAAGATATACTATAAATAGTTACAGTTCATCACGTTTACTGATGCCCAGACGCTCAATTGTCTTAGCTTTATGGATAAGGTGAGCTTCACGTGCTTTCCTGAAAGAATCACGCCCATTTTTAAGTTTTCTGGTCACCACCCATAGAATATACCTCATCTTGTAGAGAAGATCAAAGGCTTTCCACTGAAGGCAAAATCATTTCGCAACATTTCAAAAACTGTGAAGAGGGGTTACATCAAACCCCACCCCCCATCCCCCCCCCCCCCCCCCCCTTTCTCCATAGGGGGGGGGGATTTTGTGGTTACCTCTCTGTGTTGTTGTGTTACCTTTGAATTTAAAATTTAAAATTTCTTTTTTATTTTATTTTTATTTTTTTGGGCCCCCACCCAAAAAAATACCACACCTTTTAGAGAAAAACAAAAGCGTTTCCCTGAAAGCAAAAAAATTTCGCAACACTTTAAAAACGGGGGAGAGGGGTTACACCAAACCCCCCCCCCCCCCCCCCCCCCCCCCCCCCGTTGTACTAAAGTGGGGGTATGAATTTGCGTGTACATCCGATGGTTAATGGTTAATCCTGATAATATAAATTGACACAATTTCTTCCATTTAAGGTTCCTAAACTTTGTTTAGACCTCTGATAAAAGTTCATCTTCAAAATTAGGGATGGTCCACGGGGTACGTCCATGGAGTAGGTCCACAGAGGTGGTCCATGAACCGGGGGTCCATGTTTTGTATACGTCCGGGTTTGGGAACGGAGTCTTTCCCTATTTTGCTTTTAGTTATATTTGAATCAGAATTCGGTTATTTCTGCCAAACAAAAATTGATTGGAAGCGAGAACGCGAAGACCAGAACGAAGGTGGACTGCTGGCCTTCGTCTAACTCGACGTGTTACAGTTAGGGATTAGGGAGTACAACGGCTCATCTTTCTGCTTGCTCGGCACTTTCGAACTGGATGTGATCTTTACTGAGAGGAATGCGGGGTTTTCCCCACAACTGCTTTCAGTTTTGAGAGATTACTCGAGCTGTTCAGCACGAGAAAGAACGGCGACTTTGTTGGTTCCTTCATCACAGTGCCATAGACTGTTAGCCCAGCGATCAGTTTTAAGGGGAAATTGAATTTGTCCAGTATCGGCCGCTTTTACACAGTAAGGTATGTATCCACTCAACAGGGGCACCCAACGACTGCTGTAAAATATCTGTTCGGTGAAGCAAATATTGCGTAGAATTTTCTATCACTTGAGGACGGCTAACAATTTCTAGATAACTGTTCCATTCATGTACAATTTTCGAAGCTTTTCTAATAAATCCCCTACGATTTTCTGAAGTTTAATTTTCACATTTTATTTCCCAATTTAGGCTTTTTTTCTGAGACAAAAAGTAAACCTAAAATTTTCGGACTCAAAAATGTGATGGAGAGAGGAATGAGAAAATGTCTCACTTTAATTTCGTAACACATCAAATTGCATCTAAAACTTTCGGGGAAAAAATACTCAAGCCCTTAAAATTTCGAAAAGACTCAAGTTCCCCTAGGATGACCAAACAGATACAAATGATATAGCGCCACTTAGAATGCATTTCTACAGCTCCAAAAGTACTGGATAGCCTAAAAATTGTTTTCAATGTCTAGCGGGAAACTGTCGTCGGGTTCCCCTGATTCAAGAATGGTAGCTTATTCTATAACCAGCGCCTTGCTACCATTGTAAATCATACTGGTCTTAGCTTGCAAGAATTTCGCATGTTTTCGGAGCTATACACTCGTTTAACCGTACTGAGTAAGCAGCCGTGGTTTACATGATTTAAGTAACTTGGAAGTTCTGAATCTAATTTCAGCTAGGAAAGCCAACTTGATCACTGAATTCTGAAGAAGCATTATGCGTCTACATGATGACCAGTGGTTCAACTATTGCTACTTTGATACCATTGTGGTCGTGGAAATTCCCAAAGCCCTGCGTCAAACGTTCAAACGCATGTGGAACAAGAAATACGGGCTATTGCATCAGTGGGACGACTCTAATGCAGTGAAAAAATTACTTTGTAACAAAGAAGGTGGCAAACAAAGCATCAAACTTCTCACAAACAAGTCATACGAAAAGTGGGGCACTACAGCGCAGTGTAAATTCACCCTCTACTCAAAATCTTTTGCTACACGAGACAGCAAAGGTGACCTTAAAACACTTGATGATTTGTACATAAAACCGCGTGGACCGAATCCTTCTGGACAGTTTCACTCCTCTGTGATTAGCGCGAACGGTAACATCGATGAAACGTATGCACTCGCCATTGATCAGCTAAGACTTCTGAGAAATTGGCGTTCTCATTCTACCCGAGCAGAGATGGATAAGAAAACTTTTGATCGGTTCGTTGAACTGGCTAAGGATGCATTTAAAGCTCTTTCGGTCAACACAGATGACATTGATGCCATTGTGAACGCGACCGGAAGTGCACACGCCGAGGATCAAACTTGTGACATGCGCATTTTTTTTTTGACCCATTTGTATGGTTTTGACTTCCAAGTATGGAAATGGTAAGTTGGGTGGACCATTCCAAAGTCCACGAACCAAAAAAGGAAATTACTCACTCGTCCTATAAAGATCCCCAAGAAACCGGAGAGTCATGTGAGGAGACAGATCATAACAAACGAGACGACGCCAGAAGGCGTTTACGCGGGATTACCGTTATGTTGAATGGCAATGGGAAGTTGAGTAGTGTATGCAACAAATGTGTGCAGGAGAGACGGAGATGTTCTGTTAAGGACTAATACACTAGAAGATGAGTTACACACAAGGGTTCCTTTGTTACTCAAAACAAAACTTACATCAATATTACCACCATATATGTTAGGAGTATGGGATAGTTCACTAAAATTTGCATTCCTTTACTAATGTCCTCAAAAAATGCACTTCCACATTCAACAATAACATGTAATGTATCATACTTCCAATAACTACAGGGCTGCAAGGCTGTGTTCTAGAGAAGATTTAAGAGAGCCCTTCGGGCTCCCTAAGCATTTTCAGCTGGGGTGCCCGGGCCTCCAAGTTGGTTGCCCAAATTAATAAATCAATGAGCTG